ATTTCTATACACAACCATACCATCCGAATTTAGATGCTTTAAGCAATAATATTCTCACTGCCAACAATAACAATGTTTTGGGTCATTTATAAGTAAGGAATAAGTTTATAACAGATTGTCTCATTAAATGAAACGATTCAATTATAACTTCGTAGTAAGGAAGAACCTAAGATTTAATTAGATTTACTATATTCAGAGGGTGAAAATAATTTTATATTGTATCTAAATGTTTCTAGTTCACTAATGGTGTTTTAGATAATGTTAAGAAAATACATATCCACATTTTTTAAGTAGTTATTTTTGTTTTTAATAAGGAATTATGTATATTTTCAAACCTTTTGTTTTGGAATATATATGTTTGTTTAGCAGACTTCTGTTAATATTGACCAAATGTCACAAATTTTTATAGGCCGGGGGGGGGGGGGGGGGCAGCCACAGAATGTGCTAGTGTCTGAAATTCTATTTTATATCTTATTGTTTTGTTGCTAACCAAGTTGATGGTTCATAACAGTTGCTACAATTTGGTAAACTCTTTAGGTTATCCCCTGTTACTAACATGAGTGTAACAATCAATGTATATGAAATTTGTTGATTATTGTAGCTAACAGTTGAAACAGATGTTTGCTTTACCTAACCAACGACCATTTTGCAATGTTACGTGAAACAAAACAATACATGTGACTATAATTTCACTTAATTATACTACTACCTTATTATAATTAATTAGGCTATTCACATTTGTGATGGCATTTTAAGGTATTCTTGGAATCCAATTGAAGACCACAGGAGAAAAAGGGGGAATGTCGCAACAATTAGTTTTTGAGAAAAATCTAAAAAACCATTGTTAAACGTTATGAATCAAAAATTTGCTGTATTAAATATAACAGATCTACACAAAACTATAGCCAATATATATTGTTCTGAGTTATAGGTATAGAAAAAAACCCAATTATACAGAATATTTATTTAAAAATATAAAAATACAATGTTGTCAGAGTTTCCACGATAAGAAGGGGGAATGTCCAAACAAAGTTCATTTGATTTAACCTAGGCCTATGCGAATACTTTTTGTAAACGAAAAACATTATGTTTGCTCTGTTGCACCAGACTACTAAGTAGCTTCTTCCCTGCACATAATACTGTCCAGAAACATCTTTCCCTCTGGACCGCATAAAGGCCTCAGGTCTTGAAGGTCTCTGAACTTTTCACGAGTTATTTTCAAAGGTTCTTCATGTGACTGTTCAGGAAGCAGAAACTCTCCAGCTCCAATCTGACCTTTAGCAAGTTTATAAGCCGCTAACCTTTGTTTTCTTACTTTGTCTTTTTCTTATTTTTCTTTGTCCTTTGATGATTTTTTTCTTCTGTGATGATTTTTTCTTCTTACTGTCGCTGGCTTGAGTATTTTTATCTTTGACAACTACTGAACACCAGGCCCCGTTGTATGTGTTTCTGTACTGAATTGTGTCCTTTTCAGAGATTTTAACAAATATTTCCTTTACGGGTCTGATTTTGAAAGGACATGTTTCAACATAGATTGGACTAAGGAACTCTTTCCAAGCACGAAACATGGGAAGCTCCATGTCAACCACTTCATATGGTGACGGGTTAGTTCGAGCTGTTTCAAAAGCTTCGTTCCATTGTTGAGGGGTTTCTGCAGGGGTTTTTTGATTCACCAGGGCCATATCAGTATCGCTTTGCATATACGAGTGGCCTCTTATGGGAAAAGTCATCCTAACTGAGTCAAAGCGATTTTGTTCATGAACAAGAAAATGAAGGAGTCTGAAAACCGTGTAGTTTTTATTTTGGCCTCCACACGAGTCGCAGAAAATGTGAAGATCTCTTATCTCAGGTCCTAGCTTTGTTCTTATGAAGTCATGGAATATAGAGCACACTGCGTCTGAACCTTACTTTCCTACAATTTCTGTATATGTAAAAAAGACAACTTTGTTATCAGACAACACATGAACATTAAAGGAATAAAATGAGAGCTGTCTCTTATAATATATATCATTAGTAGTGAGGTTTGGGATTGGTAAGTTCTTACCAAAATCCATACATATGGCTTCAAAGCTGTTTATTTTTCGAGCCTTACGCTTCGCAGTTCTTTTGCGTTTATAAAACACTGCAGCTTTTACATTGTGTAAATTATTTTGTATTTCCATTTGCCTCAGTTTCTGCTGAAGGTCGGTTTTCTGTTCTTCAGTTTTACAGTTTTCTATTTCCAGTTCAATACATCTAACCTGGGCAGAATACTTGTCGCATGTTGTGCAGGTATCTGATCTGGGATAACCAAATGCCCTATTAAAGCAAGTATTAAAAATAGTTCGATATGTTTCGTATGAAACTTTTTGTGATGGATTGTCTTTCAAAAATAAATCATACATTTTCTTAATATTTAGGGTTTCAGGCAAGTACACTCGATCAGTTTTTTTTTTTAACGAATAATGACTCTTACGTCCTTTGAATGAAGAAATATGATCTTTAATCAACTCAACCACATCATCACCTAGTTTTCTAGGTCTGTTTGCATGTGTTCCCCTGTTGTCTTTAGGAGACATGCCTGTCATTTTTAGTGATGTTTGAATTACTTGGAGTTTATTATTCCCTATTCCAAACATGCTTAAAAAGGCTTTATAGCAAACCGGGACTTCGGTTGCACAGCCATCCCTAACAACACGTACCTTGTATGCATATGCAGCATCATGTCTTTTAGCTTCTTCTGGATACTGGAACCAAACTAATAAGGCCTGCCAGGAATGAGTTTTGTTCATTAACACTTTGGAGTTTATTAAAATGTGAAATATTTACAGATCGTTCTTCTGCTGTCACCTCTGAAAAACACTTTAACCTAGTACAACAACAGTCTGGGCCAAAATCAATATATTCATTTTTATCAATATTATTTTACCTCCTGGTAGCTGGAGGTTTTGAAATTTTATTTGCTTCACTAGTTGCTTTAGGAATGTTACTACCTCCCCAATACTTTTTTTTTTTAAATCAGGTAGTAGTGGAATCATTTTGGGCAGAATACTTGTCGCATGTTGTGCAGGTATCTGATCTGGGATAACCAAATGCCCTATTAAAGCAAGTATTAAAAATAGTTCGATATGTTTCGTATGAAACTTTTTGTGATGGATTGTCTTTCAAAAATAAATCATACATTTTCTTAATATTTAGGGTTTCAGGCAAGTACACTCGATCAGTTTTTTTTTTTTAATGAATAATGACTCTTACGTCCTTTGAATGAAGAAATATGATCTTTAATCAACTCAACCACATCATCACCTAGTTTTCTAGGTCTGTTTGCATGTGTTCCCCTGTTGTCTTTAGGAGACATGCCTGTCATTTTTAGTGATGTTTGAATTACTTGGAGTTTATTTTTCCCTATTCCAAACATGCTTAAAAAGGCTTTATAGCAAACCGGGACTTCGGTTGCACAGCCATCCCTAACAACACGAGTAGGATAACCGTGGATATGGCCCAAGTAGGATTCCCCCAGATCGTGGACAAACTACCCCTAGTGTTGTAGTTTAATCCTTAGGGGTAGTGAATACATATATGTTGAATGTTAGGGGCTGTTAGGGGTAGTTTTGGGTATTTTTAATTGTTAGGGGTAGTTTTATGGGAGTTACTTGTTGATCATGTGATCTTTTTATATGTAGGTATTTCTATTAAACTATTTTGTGGATAAAAAGTGTGTGCTTGACTGGGGATCGATCCCGGGTCTCCTAGGTATTGGATTATTGTCTAAGCCATTGAGTTATGACAACAGTTAAAGGTCTGGTGTTTATAGTCGTAAATGACAACCTTAATTTCCTAATTTACATATACAGGGTGTGTAAAAAAAACAAATATTTTTATTGTATTTCATACATATCTATATGCTGTAGTCCATAACAAATGTGAAACAAATGATAATTCATGTATCCAATGTTAAAAACAGCTTAAAGAAGGCTTAAGTGGAACTTTACCATCAAGTATCAAAAATGGCCTTTGTAAAGGCCACCAAATGTTGGATGTTAAATTTACATTTTATATATGTTATGTACTTTTGGGATGATGGGTGGTTTGAATTTATGTTTTTTTTTCTAGTGGTTGGTTGTGTATGAAGCTGTGTATGAGTCAGAGGTTCACGGGTTTGATTCTACCTAATCACCAAATATGTAACTTTTGGTTGGGGTGTTTTTTTCTTGTTGGTATGGTGTTGTATTATAGTTAACTGTTTGTGTATGAACCTATGGCTTCAGAGGTTCATGGGTTCAATTCTATCTCATTATGTTTTTATTTTATTTCATACATATCTATATGCTGTAGTCCATAACAAATGCAAAACAAATGATAATTCATGTATCCAATGTTAAAAACAGCTAAAAGAAGGCTTAAGCGGAACTTTACCATTAACACGTTAGCTGCCACGTCACCCCGATCGGGGTGCCACCAGTTGGCTCGTATGTGAGCACTGTCACCCCGATCGGGGCGACAGTTGTAATTTGTAAGGGTTTTTTTTCTTTGCCGCTATTTGACAGTCTTTGATGTTCAACGGCAGTCAAACATTGTGGCTTATAAATACATACTCCAAGCTAACTAGATATCAATGTTATATTGCATTCTGATGTTTATAAAATGTCCAAACTTACGTCACAAAGTACTGAAATGTTGTCACCCCGATCGGGGTGACGCTATTTTTTTCAACAATTTTATCTACTCTTTATTGAAATATGCACCATAAAATGACGTAACGTTTTTCTTATTCAGTTGGTGTTTATATTTTATAAGAGTTTTTTGTATCTTATGACTGAAATTATTTCCCTAACCTGAACATAAAAGTAAGTATTTGGGTAATACTGATTAAAATCAGATAAGAAAGAAAACAAACATATTTTTGAAATCTTTTATGTCAAACTGTAAACAATATTACATTGCTAAAAAAAACTAAATATATGTATAATAATGAATAAAAACATGACAACTGCTTTTAGAAAAGTAAAAAGTTGACTGGCCTACTTGTGTGTGTTCCTAAAACAGTCCTTGCACAAAAACGGCTTCTGGGGGCAAGTTTCACAAAATGTGTTTACTTTCTTCGATTTCCTAGCAGTCTCACGCCCGCCTGCATTCTGAGCTTGTTGGTAGCAGATCTTGCAGTGACGTCTTACCCGCCTTTTGTTTCGGCCTTCTCCTTCGAATTGGGCTGTCTCCGTTAGATGATGGTGGCCAGTCACTCGAACGGGATCGATTTCTTCGTCACGAAGGCCCAGAAGAGCGTAAGCCACTTTCTCTCTGAAAGTTGTGATGGAGTACACATGACGTTTTGCTGCTTGGCCAGTGGCACCTACAGCCTCTTTGTACCCAAGCCAAGCGTTGACAACAGCAGTTCCAAGGAGCATTTCCTCCGCTATCTTGTGATACCATCTCATCGATTTCCTTACAGCCGAGCTGTAAGAAGACATCTGATCGGACAAATCGATGCCCATTTTAGCTTTGTGATAATGGACAACTACCTGAGGCTTCAGTATAGGGGTACCATTTCGACTCCTCTTTCCCGTGTCTTCATACACATTAGTGTGTTTCGTTGACATAATGCGTACCTCCCTCTTGTCAACCCATCTGGTGTACGTCGTGCCATTTGGGTACTCCAGGCAGCTCATTTCTCCTGTACCAAGGGTCAAATTTGGTGGGATTGTCTTTTTGTGTGGAAACCATGCACGGTTTGCAATTACTGTACCCACAAGGTGAGTCTGTCTGGTGAGAAGAACATTGGCCAGGTCCAGAGACGTATAAAAATTGTCGATATACAAAGTATGTCCCTTGTCCAAATAGTCATTTATGAGGTCCATGACAACAGACATTGCCAAGGACGATCCTTCATCGATGCCGGTTCCTTTACCCATATACACTTTTGTCTTCAATGTGTAGCCGGTCGTGTCGCAAACCTTGAAAACTTTTATACCATACTTATGGGCTTTTTGGGGAAGATATTGCCGGAAGATAAGACGACCTCTGAACGGAATCATACTCTCGTCTATTACAAGATCTTCTCCAGGATTCTTGTTTCTTTTGAAACATTGATTGAGATGGGACACAAGTGGCAAAATCTTGGCCAAACGGCCCTCCTGATCAAGGTTGTCATTATTGTTGAAGTGCCAGAAGCGAAGTAGAAGTTGAAATCGGTTTCGGCTCATAACTCGATTTGCAACCAAGTTTCGGTATAGCAGTCGCCTGGACCAATAATCCGTTATTCTGGGCATGGGAACAAGGCCCATGTATAATAAAAGGCCCAAAAACTTTTTCATTTCCTCCACGTTAGTATCCCGCCATGTTCTTAGTCTACTACTACCATTTAATCTTATTTTCTGAAGCACCTGCGCTGCATTTCGGTTAGTCTCATCAACCATAACCGCCAGGATTTCATCGTTTAGGTAAGATGAAAAAAAATCAATCGGCTGTGCAGTCCTTGGTAAATTAAATTTGTATTCTGAGTTACCACCAAAAACAATATTTTTTTGTCTACCTTCTGGCAACTTCCATTTGTCTTCTTCTTCTTTTTTCATTTTAAGTTTATCCTCCTTTTTCTTGAGTTTTTTGTACCTTTCGCCCAAGGTAACATACACATCACCATTCAAATAATCCCCTCCTGCGCCCTCATCCAAATCCTCATTCATACTTTCCCTATCATTCTGATCATTTACACTCTCAGTCTGGGTATCAGTCTCGTTTGTTGCTGAATATAAATTCATATTGTATTCATTTACATCACCTTCATTGTTGCTGTGCTCGCTCTCTGACGTTGACAGGAGGGTAGGTTGAAAGTCCGGGTCGATGTCCATTTCGTCGTCCCCGTCTGACTCATCACTGTCTTTAGCACTACCTCCCAAAAAACCATCACTCAGATTTCCATAATCTAGTTCACTTGACATTGGTAAACCCAAAAAACGTTCGATATCGTCATCACCAAGATTGTCACTCATATTGGACAAAAGCCACAACACACTATGAAAACCAACACGAAAACTAGGTTATAAATAGCTAAAAAGTACAACACAAGAAGAAGTAAACATAACCCAGTAGAGTAATAAGCAGGTGTTGTTGTCTTCACGCGCCAAAATGCCGCTACTGCCAACCGAACAAAATGAAATATATCCCAAATGGTCGAATTTCAGTGCCACCCCGATCGGGGTGACAGCGATATTTTCCAGCAAAATTTGACTGAAAAAAATCACTGTCACCCCGATCGGGGTGACACTTATTCCGCCATTTTCTTATATGTATTTGGACAGATAACATTATAACTAACCTAGATAAGTATAAATAACATCATATAACTAAAAAATTACGTGAGCATGTAGTTGGCAATACAACAATCCCCCCCGAAAATAGCCTTGGCAGCTAACGTGTTAAGTATAAAAAATGGCCTTTGTAAAGGCCACCAAATGTCGGATGTTAAATTTACATTTCATAGATGTTATGTATTTAGGGGTGTCTAATGGGGGTAATCTGGATAATGTTTTTTTCTAGTGGCTGGCTGTGTTCATGTGTTGTGTATGAATCAGAGGTTCGTGGGTTTAATCCTTTCCAATCACTAAACATTTTATTATTGGTTTGGGTGATATGTTGATTTTTGGTATAGTGTTGTATTGTAGTGGGAGTAGTGTGAGCCCTTCTTTGATCTTAGAGGTTCATGGGTTTGATCCTTACCAATCACCAAATGTTTTATTTTTGGTTGGGGTGATATGTTGATTTTTGGTATAGTGTTGTATTGTAGTGGGAGTAGTGTGAGTCCTTGATCTCAGAGGTTTGTGGGTTTGATCCTTACCAAACACCAAATATCAAGTACCAATTTACCAAATGTTTTATTTTTGATTGGGATGATATTTTCTTGTATGGTGTTGTGTTGTAGTAGGATCAGTGTGAATCCTTGACCAGAGAGGTTTGTGGGTATGATCCTTACCAAATACCAAATGTTTCATTTCCGGTAGGGGTGATTTAGTATGGTGTTGTATTGTAGTAGGAATAGTGTGAATCTTTGACCTGAGAGGTTTGTGGGTTTGATCTTTACCAATTACTAAATGTTTAATTTTTGGTTGGGGTGTTTTTTTGTTTTTATGGTATTGTATTATAGTTAACTGTATATATATATATATATATACAACTATTGTATTGTAGTTAACTGTTTGTGTATGCCCTTAGAGGTTGTGGGTTTGATTCTTATCATTCATTGATTGTCTCATTGCTGGTCACTATAGGGTTTAGCATGGTATAGGGACTTAACTGTTTGAGTGTGAGATCCTGGGGTTATGGGTTCAACTCTTACCAAATACTGATCATTTTATTTCTGTTTACTATGATTTTGTATGATGTTGTATGTTTAGTTAACTGTTTGTGTATGAGTCTAGGGTTGAGGGTTTGAATATTACCAGTGAGAGTAACATTTCTTATGGTTGTGTAATATGTTTCTGCCAAATTAATCAGCTGTGACTTTTTCTGTTAAGATTGTATCTGTAACATAACCTTACTTGTATATGTAGGCTGTATGCTTTTTTTGCCAACTGTTCCCTCCAAATAATATAACCTCACTTTATGTATTGCATAAGTATCTGTAACATAACCTCACTTGTGTATGTAGGAACTGTCATTGGCTTTTCTATCAACTGTTTCCTCCAAATAATATAACCTCATCTTCTTGTTAAGATTCTATTGCATACGTATCTGTAACATAATCTTGTTTGTGTATGTAGGAACTGTACCCCGTCATTTGCTTTCTTGCCAACTGTCCCCACCAAGTAATATAACCTCACTTTATGTAGGTTTATTAAATTAATATCTAGTTGAGAAAATAAGGAAAACAACTGTGAAAGCTAAAACGGTTTATTTATAATATCTACATCCTGTGTGATGGTATTGCATCATCTGAAACAAAAATTATAATTAGTACCACATCCGGTGTATTAAACAAGTTATAACTTGAAAAAATCCTGCACGCTGATTGGTTATAATAAGCTCTCTCCTGATTGGTTATAAATAGGTGATCTGTGTAGTCATTGGTTACCCCCACTCCTCCCCTATTGTATATATATTGCTCTGTGTCACTATTGTATCACTTTGCTCTTAGTGATTGGTGAAGATGGATGTAAGTAACGTAGCTGCTCAAGTAGTTGATCCTGTAAAAGCTGTAGAAGATTCTGTTGAAGTAGTTGTTCCTGTAAATATCTTAGATAAACATGAGAATTATGTAAAGAAATTTAGAATTCATGGAATTAATACTGTTTTTAAGTTTTCTAACCCTCCTGCTGAAACTAGTGAGATTGATTGGCTAAGACAAGGGTTTGGTCAAATTGTTAATGAAATGAAAGAAGTCTGTGAGGAGGGTGACCAATTGGGATTTACTTTGCGATCACTTAACCTAAAAAGTAAAGAGGGGTTTGTTGCTTTTCGCCCAGCAAATGAAGTTAACGAGGATGTCTTGTGGCAAATCTTTGGAGGTATAGTACAAAGTAATTCTGAATTCATCAAGTCCACAGATACATTTCAAGTTGAATGTACTCGAGTTAATCTCCCTGTAGGATTGGGGGGCCGCAAAAGACGTGGCTTGTTTAATACCTTTGATGATGAATGTAAAGAAAGGAAAGGGATTGTTGTTATAAATAACAAAGATAACTTGTGTCTTCCTCGTGCTATTGTAGTGGCTATAGCTAATGTAACTAAATATCTTGAATACAAAGCTGTTAGACAAGACAGGGCAAAAAGACAGACTGTTAGAGCTCAAGAACTTGTATGTAGAGCTAGAGTTGAGATGCCTGAGGGTGGAGCAGGCATTCCTGAACTTGAAAAAATCCAGGACTTGCTTAAAGATTATAAAATCACTGTGTACAACTACAATGCTAAAGGTAGGGATGTTTACTTTGAGGGAAATGTAGAGAATCCCAAGTTCAAAATTAACTTGTTGTTTCATAACCGTCACTATAATGTAATTACTAGTTTGACAGCTGCTTTTGCATGTGTGTACTTTTGTGATGCCTGCCATGTCCCGTATGATCACAAAGGTGAGCATCGTTGTTCAAATATTTGCCCACAGTGTCAGACCATCTCACCCCCTTGTGTAGAGGAGCATGGGGGAATCTTGTGTCCTAAATGTAACATGACTTATAAAAACCAACACTGTTTCATTGCACACAAAACTGACAAGTGTAAAAATGTAAAGAAATGTCTTGATTGTGGGAAACTAGTTTGGCTTAAAGAGAGGTCTAAGCCTCACAAGTGTGGGGAAGTGTATTGTAAGCCTTGTGGAGAATTTAAAGATCCTAGCCATAAATGTTACATGAAACCCAATAAGGGTAAACCTAAATCTAAAGACTATGTTTTTATTTTCTTTGATCTGGAAACCCGTCAGGATGAGTCTCTGCCCTCTGATCCTGAAAGTAAATTGCATAAAGTAAACTTGTGTGTCTCTCAGCAGTTTTGTTACCGGTTTATTGAGGGGAAATTCTGTATATCATGTAAAAATCGTACACGTGTGTTTGACTCTGACCCTATCAACCGGTTTATGAACTATGTAATGTATGTGAGGAAACAGTTTAAAAATGGCTGTGTAATTGCACATAATGGGCAGGGTTTTGATTTTCAATTTTTGCTAAAGTACTTGTTGGAAGAAACAAAATTCACACCAGAACTTGTAATGAGGGGAAGCAAAATTATCTTAATGAATATTGACAATGTAAGGTTTGTGGACTCACTTAGCTACTTCCCCATGGCTCTGTCTGCTTTGCCTAAAGCCTTTGACCTACCTCCAGAGAAAAAGAAAGGTTATTTTCCCCACTTGTTTAACACATTGGCAAACCAAAACTATGTAGGCCCTATGCCACCCAAAGAGTACTATTGTCCCGAATCTATGTTTGAAAAATCCCACAATGACTTTGACAAATGGTATAGTGAACAGATTGCTAACAACTATAAATTTAATTTTAAAAAGGAGTTGCAGGAATACTGTATGTCAGATGTTGATATCTTGGCTCAAGCCTGTCTAAAGTTCCGCCCAATCTTTCTAAAAGAGTGTAATGTTGACCCATTTCTTGAGGCTGTTACCATTGCGAGTGCCTGTAATCTAGCTTTCCGCCGTAATTTTCTGAAACCCAACACCTTCACCCCATTAACTTTGACTTCTTTGCCTCGTCCAGCATGATCAATCCTAATCCCATTGGTTTCCTCAACCCAAGAAAGCCATTGGAGTGCAATTACCGATTGATTGTCTACTAACCGATAACCGTTCTTAGGGATGATGCCAATGACTAACAGTTACTTTAAATATTTAAATTGAAGTTAATGCTTAAATATTCTAACCGGAGCGATAAGGATTTTCGATAATTCACAAATAAACTCGTGAAACGAAACTAAAGAATTTAAAAGTTTTAGCTATTTTTAGGAAAGAGACCATTACTTTATTGGTTGGTGCGTCGTATTTATTTTGTTGTTCAACTCTGTTGAAATATATTTGTAGTTACAAAAACCAAGTAAATGATTTAATACTGAATACTTGATCCTCCATGCAAATAAAAACTAAATAGCAGTACCATGGGGTTTTAAAAGAAACGGTACAGTACGTTCAAAATGAGCTGGAGAAAATAAACTATATAAATGTATACAATTTTTATTTTGGACGTTCGTAAATATTTATGTGTTTTATGTGTTTGTATATTTATGTATTAACTCGAGATTTTGTAACAGATTATTACAGATGATATCTTTAACACTCATTATGCCTGCCACTTCCGACGAATTTATGTCCATTCGATGATTAGATGATTTGGGTGGTTCCGATCAAATAGTTTCAATTAAATTGCACATTGAACATTGAAATCTAAAACCCGATCGTAGTCCTTCTTCTGTTTCTTTTACAAATGTCATGTTCTCGAATCCACACTCAAAAGGTTCATGAATCGATATTCGTTTTATTTCATCAAAAATAAACCCTATA